GGGATAAGAACATTATGTTACAGAATAAGAAGTTTTTTTCTAATTTAATTTTATTATTATTATTGCAATGCACTCTTTCGTTATTGAAAATGATATTGAAAGCCCAACTTTCAATGTAGAGTAGAGTAGGAGATGTATGCAACCACAAAATAAATAAATAAATAAATAAAAAGTACTGAATATGCCTATGTGTAATGAGTATTTTCTTAAAATATTATTGTTTTTAAAAGTAATTGTATTAATGGGTATTTTAGTCACATTAAAAAGGGAGTGTGAGGAGTAGAAAAAAGAAGTGTCACGCACCTTTAAGTTATCGTTATGCAATTGAAAATTTGATGTCGTTTCCTTGAAAAAAATTGATGTCGTTCTGAGCTTAAAATTTTTATAATATCGAATACAATGTTGTCGTTTTCCAGTACAACTTTTTATTCTCAAACAGGGATAGTGATGTAAGAACAAAAATAACGCATGTTTGAGGGGGGAAAAGAGGGATACGTATTAAATGAATTAATACAAATACAATGATACGCTGCATCTATGAATCAAAAATTATATGAAAGAATACAAAACATGCATTTCCTCGCAAAACAAAAGTCATGTTAGCAAAGGAAGAAAAAAAAAAAAAAAAAAAAAAAAAAAAACACGAGGCAATTTTCATATGATTTACAGTATATGAGGAACTATACTCGGTTACAAAACCTCAATGGAAGATTTCTTACTCGGTATCATTCAACCGTCGCCGAGAAGTTGATTACCAAATTGTGAAAAGCTGGTTTCTCTCCAGTTTGTACAGTAAGTCTTGAACTTGTCTTTAGTTGTTACACATCCCAGATCTATTTATGTTTATTGTACTCCGGTCACCCTGCTCTCTGCTCGCCCAACTTCTCTGAGGTTGGACTCTGCTGTCTCTACTCCCAAAGCTACTCTGAGTTTGGTCCCTGTGATCTTGACTCCCCCAGCTACTGTGAGTGCGCTCGAAGAAGTCGGTACTGTATTCCTGACTTCCAAATGCCATCCTCTGGAACATTCTAATTTGCGTAGAGTGTTGCGCCAGATCGAAAAGTTCACTTTGGCCCGGTTTCATTCCATTGCTGAGATCAGAGATCTCGTCCATGGAGTCTAGAGCTCTCACCACCTGGAACCAGGATGAGAAAAAGGGAGGCATAAGAAGAAGCAAAAGAAGAGATTAGAGATTCTCTATCTAGAGAAATAAAATGAATGAAAAACAGCACAATCCGGTCAAAGCTAAGTACCTGTCCCATTCGTGGCCTTTTTGCAGCCGAATGACGCACACAAGCCGCGGCTGCCTCAATCATACGGAACATCTCATTTTCATTGAAATTTAATCCCAGCCTCGGATCTACCAACTCCCCAAAGTCCTCAGTATCAAGCGCTTCAGAAAGCAATGGTCGAGCCTGGATAATGAGTTTCAAGTTAGAATTAAACTGCATACACTTGACAATTTTTCAATGATTCAATTCCAACCACTTCCTTAAATATCTTCCTTTTTTTCGTCATCTTGTTTGATAAGACATTCAGAATCAATGTTCAACATACAAAACAATGATCAATTCAGTGCACAAGAATAAATTTTTAAACAAGATTCAAGCATGGTCAGTGAACTTTAGAAACTAACAGGACTTTTAGAGGAAAGTGATAATGCCAGCAATATCCATGAGAAGATATCTTAGATGTTCACGAACTTACCCATTCTACAAGGCTCTCATCACCCAAAGGTTGAGAGGCATCCACAGGTTTGCGACCAGTAATTAGCTCCAAAAGCACAACCCCAAATGAATAAACATCAGACTTTTCAGTTAACTTCCCACTTGTTGCATACTCCGGAGCCATGTATCTAAATAAATCGCACAATTCTGTTTATCAACATATATGAATTTTTTTTATTTTTTTTATTTTTTAGTATCGTAATTTCTTAATTTATCTTAAAACATCATAATTGCAGAGAAAGAAACACGTTTAGAATTTGGAATTCCCTCATCAAAAAGAAAAGCCATGCAATCATAACAAGAACCACTAGAAGTCGAATCAGAACTGATAGGGAAGATAAAGACGGATTAATTCATACTCAAAATTTATATAAGTAAATAAATAAATTGGAAATGATGAAGTGTTGATGGTCCACATTCATTTTAAACTTTTAAAGTGTTGGAAAATTCAAAAAAATAATTAGGCTTATCCATGATCTAGACATTTGATAATTATTGAAGAAAAATGGTCAGATCATAGACCAATATTTAAAGTGTCATTTTAATGAAAAGTTGGATAAGTTAAGCAAATCAAGAAAAGAAGTTTTTTATAAATACAATTAAAGATGCCTTGGGTACCCTCCTCGAAATGAGGAGGAAAACAACGCCTTTAATACCTACCCGAAGGTTCCCATCACACGTGTTGTTACATGTGTATTTGAATCAAGTGCCAACTTTGCAAGCCCAAAATCTGAAACCTGTTATTATGAGGAAAAAAAAAATTAATTCCAACAAAAAATTGTTTATTGGAGATTAGGGGGGGCAGCAGTTGCCAAGGTAATTTTACGGGCATCAATACATTCCAGCAAAATAAGACTGCGAAAAAGGGACTCCTAATCTTAACTAACATCAAAGTACATAAGTTCCATTTGAACGGCAGAAGCACAACATCAAGGTTTCGGAAGAACGTACCTGAGCTTCATAATTGTTATCCAGAAGGATGTTTGATGACTTAATATCCCTATGGATAATGCGGGGATGGCCTGAAAATTAAATTAAATAAGACTAGTAAGAAGAGGGAAGACAGAGAAAGATGTCTAAGATATGCAGACACATTTATCTTGAGGGAATATGAGCAAAAGTCACTAAACACAATCTAATTATGTGTGCGTTTGTTTGCTTCAGATGACTAAATTTACTCGTGAGAATAGATCATTGCGAAATAGGAGATAGTTTCCTTTGAACATGCCAATATCAGTGATACACGTTTTAGTTACTAGTTACTACAGCCTAGAGGCATCCAAATGGTTAAAGGTTATGGCAATTCACAATTGGCAACTCAAAAAATCATGGGCACGAGAGCCTCGTATACCAAAGCAAAGACAAAAGAACTAAATTACACTGTAACTAAAGGCCTTTGTTTCAGGATAGTTATAGCTTAGCTTATAATTAGATGGAAAAAGTTGACAAGAGGACAATCACCTGTTTACATAGAAAGACTTAAAAAGCATTCACGATATGTGTGGTTAATAAAATCATCTTCTAAATTATGTCGCAAGGAAATAGGAAGCTTACAGTCTTCATGTAAGTAAGCTATTCCCCGAGCTGAACCAGCAGCAACCTTGACTCTGGTTGCCCAATCCATAACAGGCCTGCCTTCATCTGCAAAGTTCAATTCATATGGAAAGTTAGAAGTACGACTTTGACAGGAAGCAGAAAAATGTAAGAATATTTGCCTCTGAATAATTTTTGTATTAAACAGATACAAGAAACAACGCATATGACAATTCCTTTGGTTCCTAAATCCGAACTACTCTTCGTATCTCATTCTCATATGCAAAACAAACAGTTTATTTATACAGGATTAGCAGTTAACAATTCAAGATTTTGGAGCCACTTAAACTCACCATGAAGATGATAATGAAGATTGTTGTTTGGAACATAGTCGTAGACAAGGAGCCTTTGATGCTCAGATATACAATAACCCACAAGAGAGACCAAATGGCGATGGTGTACTCGGCTAATAATTTCAACTTCTGCTCTGAACTCACGCTCCCCCTGTCCACCACCGATCTTCAACTGTTTCACGGCGACCTCTCTGCCATCTACCAGGACACCTTTGTATACACAGCCAAATCCACCTTCACCTAGAAGATTCTGCGTTGAAAACCCATTTGTGGCCTGGATTAGCTCTTCATATGTGAACCACGACTTCGAATTGCTTACCCCACCCTCTGAAGGTGCGTACATGAAGTCACTACCAGAGCCACTTCCCACACGAGGAGGAGGAGCTGGAGAATAGGACCTCAGAAATACTGAATCTGGCAAGGAAATACAAGTTTCATTAAAGTCATTGTTTCAAAAATGATTTAACTGGCCTCGTCTGCATAATCAGGCAATAGCTTGCGAGCTCAGCAAAGTTCTCATGCCACTCAATAGGATTTAAAAAAACAAAAAAAGGAATACTTCGAACCACTGAACACATTTGCAAGGTATTATCAAATAAACGGGAAGTTTTGAATCCAATGATCAGTACTAATTAAGGGTTGAGACAAACTCTTAATCAACAATTGCTAAAAGTTTCTTTCTTTTCCTTTCTATCTCAACCCCACATCCTAATAATAAAGTATTTAACATATATGTCGACGCACTACCTTCATTAAGGAAAAAAAAAGTTCCATTTTAAATACAAGCATTATTTTCCAGTGTCAAGTTTATTGGACTTATAGAGTACCCGGTAAAGACACTTCAAAAGCTTCCCAGGAAAAAGGGAAAAAGAAGCAGATACTTTAAAATTCAGAGTACCACCAAGCTATAAGAAAACAAACTTATAAAAGTTGACGATGCTTAGTATGTTACCTGAATTTTGGGAGGAGGCAAATGGGGAAGGCATGCTATAGCCAACAGTCAATTTGTTTCTCCTCTTCTTCTTCCGTACAAACCACACAGCCATGACAATGAGGCTGAGCACTACCAACCCAACTATGACACCAATTGCAACAGCTCCTCCAGTTTTCAGCCCGTCTGCAGATGAACCACTGGACGACACGTCGTTGTCAGTGGTCGATTTTGCAGTGGGCTTCTGAGTCGGAATAGCAGGCAAGGGTGCTGGGGAAGCAGGGCTTGTCGAATTACTAGGCGGAGCAGGGGAAGACGTAGGAGGAGACGGTGAAGAGGACGAATGAACCGGAGGAGGAGGCGACAGCAATGTCGTCTCCGGCGGAGGAGGAGATCCAGAACCAGATGGCGGAGACGGAGGAGAAGATTTCGGTGGATCAGCCGCCGGCGGAGGGGGAGAATTCGACGATGGAGGAGTAGGGACAGTGGCCGGAGGAGGCGGAGGAGATTGAACAGCTTGATCAGGAGGTGGCGACGTCGTAGCAGCCGGAGGCGTCGGAGAAGCTTCGGGAGGAGGAGGCGGAGAAGAAGATCCTCCGGACGGAGGCGGCGAGGTCGCTACCGGAGGCGGCGGAGAAGCCTCCACAGGAGGAGGTGCAGCCGGAGGCGACGGCGGCGGTGACGTAGGCGGCGATGGAGGCGGCGCCGATGTAGCTGGAGTTGTCGGCGGCGGGGAGGCTGGAGTTGAAGGCGGCGGAGACGCGGCAGTCGAAGGTGGCGGAGGCGCGGCAGTCGAAGGCGGCGGAGACGCGGGAGTGGAAGGAGGCGGTGAAGTCGATGTCGGCGGCGGCGCGGGAGTCGGATCGGCCGGCGGAGATTGTGGCGGCGGCGATGAGGAAGTAGAGTTAGAGGAGGCCGGAGGCGCTGGGGAGTCGGAAGTCTGATCGGGCTGCGACGACGGAGGAGTCGTCGTTGAGGAATCCGCTGGCGGAGACGTCGGCGACGGAACTGAAGAAGTCGAAGAGGTCGGAGACGGCGTCGTCGAAGCCATCTCTCACAAAGATTCTCCTCCTAGTTGAACTAGTTATTCTTCTTCTAGTACTACTACGACACATCCATTGTCAAATTCCAGTCATCTCCCGAGAGAACCGCAATCAGATCCCTAAATTCTCTTCCTCACAGCTAGACCAACCAAGCAAAAATGGCCAAATTGTTCGCAAATCAACAACCCTAGAAAAATTCAACTTGACAACAACGGAAAATCCACCTTTGACTGGAAATTCTCCAGATCTTTCTCTAACAACAAGTACTTTCAGCGAAAAAGCTCGAAACTTTCCAGCAGAAATCGGATCAACCAAAAGTCAGAATGTGCAACACATTCACTTCATCAGCTCAAAACTGTAACGGTGAATATGAGAATCAGAAAACCTAGAAACTGGGAAATGGAGATTTTCTCGACAGTAAAGCTTACAGCTTGGAATCTTCGAATTTTCAGACTTTTTCTCGAGAAAAAGGAAAAAAAAAAATGTTTAGGGGAACATGGTCAAGAGGTACACACTACACCCCCACAAAATATGCGAACCAAACGTGGGACGACTACAGAGCTGCCTCACTCACATGCACGGCCACGCCAAGCAAAAAAGATGATGAATTTTTAGCTTTAAAGTGGCGTTTTTCTTTAGCTGTTTTTTCTTTTCCTCTTAAAAACTCCACTATTTACTTGCACAATTTTCTTTTCCTTTTAGGAGGGAAAAAAGCCACAATTGATGGAGAAAATAGACGAGAACTTTATACCTCTGATATCGTTTAAATGACATGAAATTATTCTACCTGTATAATGGCTGGCTTTTTGATAATTGTTTGAGTGGATTAAAAATAAAACGAAAATAATCAGTCAAAATAGAAGGCCGCGTCTGAGGTTCAAAGCGTAAAGTCAGCGCTCAAAATTTATGATCAATTTAGAATAAGAAATGTTTCTCGAAACATGGATTCATAATGGAAGAGATCTCAGTCTCTCTGTCACACTGACTACCATTCTCCGCGAATGTGCGCATGTTGAATGAATGAATGAATGAGCTACGATGAAGGATCTTTATTACTTTATTAGTCTCTTTTTTTTTTTTTTTGTGGTAATTATTTTACATACTATATCACGGGTTATTTGTCGTTTTTATTCTTGTCGTTTTCTTTGTTGTGTTTCCCTTTTTGGTTGGGCATTCTTATAAATGAACAACAAACGCGTCTTCAATGCAAAGGCTTTCTTGGGTTAGTTGAACAAATGATGGAATATATTGTGGCCCTATAGCTATTTTTGTAGTGACAAGCTAACAACAAATGTTTCTTACTCTTTGTGGGTCTACATTTTTTTTTTTTTTTGCTAATCCTTTGTGGGGCTACATTTATTGGTAGCTTCTCTTATCTTGGATTTTATTTAAGGTAACTTGACTTCAAAAATGAAAAAGGGCAACAAAAATAAATTAAAAAAGACAGAAAAGGGACAACTATGATTTAATTTATTTTTTTTTTTTTTTGGTGAATTAGTGAAATGATTCAAAAAATTAAAACCTTAGTGAAAAAAATTACCTTATCCTAAGCCGAAAAACATGTGTATAAAGAGCTACTTTTCATTCGGCTCAGAAAGTATGTGTAAATGCGTTTACCAATGCCCAACAAATATTGATCAATATCTTGTTTTCTTACAACACTAGTAAAGGGTAATTCCTCAACATGTGCAACTTAGCTATAGTTGAGTGGATACAACTAGTAAGCACATTCGTGGAGTCAACTCATTATTGTTGTATAATTGGGTATAACAATTGTTTTGTTTTTTTTTTTTTTGCAATTTCATTTTCATGTTAAGTTTACCAATGACCAAAGTACAATGTCCAAAATTTTAACTTGTAGTAGCTTTCTAACGTGGGAACATATTCAAGATACGTATTTTAATATATAGACCTACCATTGTCTTTTAAAAAATCGAGTGTTTTTTAGCTAGTTCGAAGATAATCATAACAATATCCCCGTGATTTCAAATTAGTAGAATTAGGCCAAGTCTCTAATTCGGCAGTCTGAAAATGGTACTTATATGTGTTGTCAAGTATGTCAAAAAGAATAAGAAGAGTGGCAGGTGTTTGTTGTTGGACGCATAGTCGGACTGCCTAACCGGAAGGCTATTTCTAAGTCTGCGAATAATCCGAATGAGGCTATGAGAAGGCAGCCGTTGATAAAATGGCGGATGCCGATGTCTTGTTAGAGCGGTGAACCACAAGCGAAGAAGTGCCATCCGGTTGAGGCATATGATTTTATTTTGCGGGAGATTTAGGTCATATAACTGAGCTAGAAACAATTATTTAATTTAATCAATGGGTACATCAAATAAGCCAAATTGACACTATAGTTTGTACTTTTTACAGCAAATCAAGATTAGATGGAAAAATAGAGCTTCAGTCAAACACAAATCTTTCTTTTGAGACGAAATAGAAACTCTGAGTCGGTAGGTTTGAAAACATTCCGAGAACGTGTAATTGGAGGATTTTGAGTCCCTAGTGGTCAAGTACTTTCATTGTTGTAAGAAAAGCGTATGCTTGCATAAGAAAGGAAGATGGTCTCGTACTGCTTTCCTTTTTCTTTTTTTTTTCTTTTTTTTTTTTTTTTTTTTTAAAAAAAAAAAAAAAAGGAAAATTTTTTTTGGAAGGGCATT